AGGCTCATGGAAGTCGGAGCAGAAGAGACAAGCAATAGCTTACTACCAGTACAGGGATTGTGGGATTGTTTTTGCATGTGCTCCTCCTTGCCCAAATAACCCTTAGAGATTACTGTACACACACATCCTTATCTCGTACCAACAAGGAGATGTAAATATCCAGTGTGAGAACAGCTGCCACCTTGTGGTCATATTGATAAAGACACCCTCAGGGAAAAGCACCTAGGCCTACCTTTGATCACGAGGTTTGTTGAGGTTTGTTATTGCGGTGGTGAGGATGACGATTAGGTATCATTTACTGAGCTCCTCCAATGTGTAGGATACATTACTTCATTTAATTCTTGCAGTAATCTTCCAAGGTAGGTATTTTTGTCCCTATTTAACAGATGAGAAAACCAAGCCAAAGAGAGGTGAAGTAATTTGCTTGAGCAAGGCTACGTGACTGGGAAGACAAGGAACCGGGGTTTGAATCCAGGTCTTTCTGGCCACAAAGTTCATATATTTGTCACTACTCAAGGTTCCCAAATCCATTAATATGCTTTCTTACATTTAAAAATAATATAAATAGTATATATAATATTTTATTATAAAATATCATAGATTTATTTATTTATAAATGTATAAATTATTTAGTTATTATGTAATGCTATATCATATTTTATTTAACAATATTATCCCAGTAATGCTATTTGTGACAGGCAGCCCTCTAACATGGCTACCCGCGATCCTGCCTCTTAGTATTTGGGCCCTTGTATAGGCCTCTCCCCTTGAGTGTCGGCTAGATCTAGTGACGTGCTTCTTATAAGCAGAATGCAGCAAAACTCATGTGATGTAACTTCTGAGATCAGGTTATAAAAGAGATACCATTAATGAGCTACCACTTTACAACCATTGGGAGAGCTATTAAAAAAAAAGAAAATGGAAAATAGCAAGTATTGGTGAGGATGTGGAGACGTTGGAACTCCCACGCAGTGCTGGTGAGAATATAAAATGGCATAGCCGCTGTGGAAAACAGAATGACAGCTTCTCAAAAAGTTAAAAGTAGCACTACCATATGATCCAGCAATCCCACTTCTGGGTATGTACGTACCCAAAGGACTGGAAAGCAGAGACTCCAA